TTTCGGCTCTCTACTGCGAGGATCATGCATCATACGTATCTACAACCGCAGTTCAAAATATATGAACTTCATATATTCATTGTATCTGATTTATCATCACGGGTTTATTACGAATCAACTTAACGGCCTGCTCCCAGTTGGCTTGTTGGCTCAATTGGTAGAGCGCTGCACTAGTATCGCAGAGGTCAGTGGTTCGAATCCCGTACAGGCCTGATTTTTTTCAGGTCTGATTTTCGCTATTGCATAAATAGCGCTCTCTACTGCGAGGATCATGCATCATACGTATCTACAACCGCAGTTCAAAATATATGAACTTCATATATTCATTGTATCTGAAAGCAATGATATGATAAAAATATTATGTTCAACCACAGAATACGCATGAAATTGAAAAAAGGGTGGCAACGGTTGGTCACTTTACAAAGAGTAGAGCCATGACCAGCTTATTCGACCTTATTAATTTATTAATTTGCTCTTTCTTCCCCCTCGGCCAATCAGATTCAACCAACGCGACTTGGTGACCCGCATTTCCCGCGCGTCGCGCAGGTTTCTTGTACTTTTCCCAATTGAAGCAAATGAACGTTGTAATGTCTACCTTGAATGGTCGCCTGACCTCAGGTTCTTTGTACCTCAGCCAAATGATACTTTAGATTGAAAGTAAAAAACCGAACCAGGTGAAAAATCCCATATAGTTTAACAACACTTCAAAGGACGAGGAGTCAGGTATAATCATCACACATGAAATGACACTCTAAAGAAGTAAAAAAAATAAAAATAAAAATAAAGAAAAATGATAAAGAAAAGAAGAATAAAAACAACTCTTTTGATGCGTTTTCTTCTCCTTAGAACAGTCGGGAGAAATCAGAGGATAGGACAAGTTGGCGACACGCGAACATTAGAAGTGCTTCGCGCGGAAGCTTCGCACCCACCGCTCGTGTTGTTTTTTCCAGCTGATTCCTTTTGACCAAATGATATCAGAGAGGTGAGAAAGACGGGATGACAAAGGTTTAATGACACTCACGTGATTATAAGAAAATAAGAACTTACAGAGAATATCAGCCCAGGAAGAGGGGTTCTTGTTTTGGTATGAATCATGGCGAGAAAGCGAGGAAGATGACCTTCTCTTGCGGCAGCGAAAGCCACTCTGAAATTCAACATAGTTTTGAAGTCATTGAAAAGAGTTTGCAATTGGGCGAGATTTTACGACAGCTAAGGCTAAGGGTCAAAGGATACGTAGCAAAGGGGTGCGTGTTAGAATATAAGGTGTGGTTAGGGGGGTGGGGTTGGGGTGAGGAACACTGCCCTTTCCATTGGGTACATCTCAGTTGACAACTAACACTTGTGATATTTTACTGAAGTAAGAATCTCCTGACTCCTGACAAAACTTTATCTCACAAAAAATTAAAGGCACTTCAAAAATCAAGAACCGCTCTTCTAATTTTAACGAGAAAATTCCAATGAACATGTATGAAATTATATCAATGTTTCCAAACCTCCCTCCTGAGAAGGCACCGCCATTGGCTGCACCAAACGTAGAACAAGCGACAAGTATCGGGATACTCCAAGCCATGACTCCGTATAACCGGTTTGCTAGGGTCTGTTGGATGAAAACATGAAAAACAATCGTCTTAATTTCAATCTGTAAAAGTAATCTTGTCTCTTTATCCGCGCAAAGCCTGGGTTGAGTTAAGGGAGCCTCGCTCGATGATGGCCGATCTGACGGCTGGGGTGGGGCAGACAATTGGCAAAATATTGTTTTATTACAAGTTAGTCTTTGTAGAACACTATACAGAGTTATGGAATTGTGTACGGATTATCTTCGTGGTGGAGTCATAACGACAAGATTTTTGCTTCCGCCTGGTTTATCCTTGACCATTGATAAATCATAATTCTCGAAAAACATTCCTCATCTATGGTCTACAGATCTTGCGTGAAGATACTTTTAAGAAAGCGTTTATTTTGGAGCTAAATATTAAGGGTGATTTTTAACCAAAAGATGGAACTAAAATAAAGAGCTCTGTTTGTTAAATGAACGTTGGCTGTCGAATAAGAAATGGAAATTTCCTTGCTTTACAGCCGCTTGAGGACCGAACGAGTTGGAGAGGCGATCATCAGGACGATTAAACATAGGAGAGCAGTAGCTCCGCCCTTTTCCTAATCTTTCTCCTCGCTCGCGCACAACAATTTTAATGGACCGACGCCCATTTATCTGAGAGCCTGTAACGCAGGCGAACGGTATTTATTCAGTGAATCAAGTGATCCACGCTGATTGATGGGCCAATGGCTACGATACCCCGTGATGACGTCATAGAATAAAGTGTTTCCTTTGTCCAACATTGCGCAGAGTTTGTGATGTTTTTTTTATAGAACCAATCAATCTAATCTTACCGCATTTTAATTTTTACTGCATTTTGACTGAAAATTACCTCACACTCTGACAGAATGAGCCTCAAATTGTCAAATGTTGTAAAATGAATATTGTTTTAGTTTTATCGCGCGAAGGTAAATTTAAGGGTCATGGGAAAAGAGTTACCACAGCAACTGCATCAGTAGTTAGAAATTCATGTGGTGTAAGCACCGTAAGGTATCCAGTGACCACCAACAAGTAGGACGCTGTCACAAGAGGCATACCAATGAAAATGGTGAGCGGGAGATTCCTATAAAAACTTGCGATGGAAGTTTCAAAACGTTTGTAATGTTTCAACTGACTATTGTTGTTGTTGTGTTTCTCACCTATTAGGATTCTTTATTTCCTCTGTAACATAATTCAGCTGGTTCCTAGGGAAAGGAAAAGTTTGAGAAAGTTTAGCTTGTAATTATTAAGCTAAACTCTGTATCGTTTTCCCATGACGTTTTTAAAGCCACCCTCGACTCACCACCCATCGTAGGAGAAGAGTCCATTGTAAAAAGCGAACGCAAATTTCCCTATCTCTGGACTAGTTCCGTTAAATGCGTTTTCAAAGGCATCAGTATAGCCTGCAAGGTATTGAAAGCAAAACTATGGAATGAATCAAGAGAATGAAATACCTTGGGCTCCCAGTGTTTTTCGACGAAGTTGTTATTTACAGTGTGTGCGGTGACTGTATTAACTGATAAAAACAAATGATTCTGAGCCAGTCGAAATGCACTTTTGAAATCCAACGAACCAATCAAAACCTGGACTAGTCTATATCTACCGCCTAGGGGAAGTAGGGGGGGGGTGGTGGACAGGGATCGGAGGATATTGTGATCCTCGTCAATCCTTCCCTCCCTCCGTGACAAGTAATATTTGGTCCGTTCACTGCGCTCCGGCTGAGGATGATCACGCTACCTCAACGAATGATAGAAAAAAAATAGTTTACCTTGTGCTAAGCGAACAATTCCTGTGAATACCACCATAAAAATGGCGATCATCTTGGCCCCAGTGAAAAAAATCTGAATTCGAGTGGCCCACTTCACGCTTGCGCAGTTGACGAAGGTGATAACGCCTGGAGATTCGATGAAAATGTAGTTAAGACCCCGTCCTGTCCACACGTATCCGGATATTTTCGAAAACGGAGGTTTTTTCTCCGTATTCGAAAACATCCGCGTCCACACGAATAAGATAAATCTCCGTTTTTAAAAATCTACAGTCTGGAGAGCGTATTAAAAAATCTCCGTATTTGTTGCCAAAAATGCCGTTTATGTGTGGACGAGAAGTGCAAACGGAGAAAAAAACCTCCGTTTTCGAAAATACTGGATACGTGTGGACGGGGTCTAAGATGTTGAAAACATCCTAAGAATAATATGTAATTATATCTTCAAATATCTATAATTTGACAGCAACCGGGCACCTCGTGTGCCTGTAACATTTTTGCGAGAGAAAATTGCTCCCTAGGATTTCCAAAACTGAGAAAATTTAATCTAATAATTTTTTTGGATGTCAGACGTACATATTTGCTTTTCTAGGAATGTCTTCTATTTTTGTTTCAGTGGCTTATCGTCGTAGGGAAAGACCCTCGAGGAGTGCGGTGTCACGACTCGCAGTCCACGCTCTCGCGAGTTAATACCTGTTTGGTGCTTCTTGAAAGCAAAACAACCACATTCTATTCCCTACACAAGTAAGTCAACCGACCAGTTTATTTTTGGAGGGTGATCAATTTGTTACTTGAACTAGAAAGTAACATTTATTTAGAAATTAAGAAGCAAAAATAAAGTAAAAATAAAGTAAAAAAGCCAAAGGGGAATTAATCAAGCATATCTAGTTTTCCAATGATTCAAATCTTGGAGACAGAAGAAAATCAGAAACAATTTTCTTTGGGATAGAACTTTGAGTTACACAACACTTAGGTAAAGTTCCTCAAGCACAGGTTCGAAATTTGAATCTGAGGAATTGACATTTTACCACAACAATCTTGAAAAGATAGTTGCTATTGTAATGACTTAACACGAACACAACATCATCATGCTGATTTACGTTTCGCTTCCAAACCTACCTAAGGCTGCAGCTGCTAGTAACTTAATGAGCGGAACAAACTCTTCTCGACTTCTACAACCCGGCGAAAATGCCTCTACGGTGTAGGCACCAAACACTAAGAGGACCATGATCTGACTCGCCGGCCTCATAAACAACACGAGCATCCACGAGTACATGAAAGCTGGAAGAGGTCCATAAGCCTTCAGCAGATATTGGTACTCGCCGCCCGATTTTGGGATTAAAGTTCCTAACTCGCAGTAGCAGAGTGCTCCAAATAGAGAAATCACCCCGCAGAAAGCCCACATCACGAGGGACATTCCAACTGAACCGGTGTAAAACAGCACCCATTTCGGTGTCGCAAAGATACCTGAGCCGATGATCGTGCCGATGAGAAAAGCAATTCCACCTGGAATTCCCAAAGAACGTTTTAGAGAAATCGGGTTTTCTTCGAGACTTTCCTCGTCGGGCTCGCTATCTCGGTCGTCATAGCCCACAAGGAGATTTTCAGGAGATTCCGATGACGCCATGATTTACTTTGACTCAATGATTCATCCTGTTTCAAGTAAACATCGTTGATCTAATGAGCTCGTAGCAAACTTACAATTTGTATCGCCCCTACAGAACGGGAAAAAAACTTGTAACTTAACTTATAACGGAGTCGCACTTTTGTATGTCTAGAACTTGTACTGAACAGATTCAGAAAGTAAGTCTAGAAGTAGACAGATTTAGACCATGTAATTAAGAACGATTATCGCGGATGACGTTCTCCACAACAGCGGAGTCACAGTAGTGAATCGAGTCACGAGAAAGACAAAAGCCTCAAGATCAAAACAAAAACTGTCCACGTGCACTTTTTACCATCTGCTCACGTTTCCTGTTGGCTTTTAACAGAAAAAGATCATGCGTTTTCTTTTCTAACGTGGCAAGCATGTGATACCGCTCAGTCGAGAAAAGAGAAGACTGAAGCACTTAAAACCAAAAGTTAAGAATTTTGAGATGTTAACGCACTTGGTCACGCGACCCACTCTAACGTACGCGAACTGTTGTAAATGATTTCCAACTGGCTGGCATTTCGCAAAACACGGTGGAGTTAAACTTTAGACTACTTAGAAACAAATGCGTGTCACAAAATTGGAATCAGAGGAAGTGGTGCTCTCTGATCCACCGTTCATTATCCACTTGGTCATGTGTCTAGCGTCTTCAAGTTAAGTGTTTCTTTTTTAAAGATAATTTGACAAAAAGGGAAAAATAAATGTTTTGCGCATTTCTCACATTGTCAATCCTGTTAAGTGCAAGGTAAAGTCAGGTAAGTGCCTCTAAACAGTTTCAAGGTCGAAAAGCGTTGGATTCGGAATGCAATCGCTTCAAGACATCTCTATCGAGAGGATGACTACTTTATTATTATTATTATTATTATTATTATTATTATTATTACAAATTAACTTAAATTGCGCTAATATCAATATTCACTTTCATCCGCGCACAAACTAAAATGTTACAAAATTCTAACTGCAAAAAAAAAAACAACAAATAGAAAAAGAAAAAAATCTAACAATGAAATAATATATATGCTAAACATGTCAATAAAATATCTAAAAATGTATAATAGTGTAGTTTAAGTACAAAAATATATATAATCTAATGTAATGTAATTTGATGTGCTCGACTCCAGATCGAGTGGTCCGGGTTCGAGCCCCGGCTGGGACACTGTGTTGTGTTCTTAGGCAAGACTCTAAATGTTGGGGGTAACCCTGCGATGGACTGGCATCCCATCCAGGGGGGAGTAGAAATACTCCTAGTCGCTTCATGCTACAGAAACCGGAGTTAAGCACCGGCCCAATGGGCCACTAGGCTGGTAAACAGACCTTGCCTTTACCTTTAATGTAATTCGATATTTAACTAAAAGCTTCTTTAAATAAATACGTCTTTAAATATTTTTTAAAAAGATTCAATGATTTTGAATTTCTAATATAATATGGAACAACATTCCAAAGTTTTGGTGTTTACTTGAAATAAAACTTAGTCCTCATCTATGATCATTTCATAGACATTATTTAACAAGTCATATATTACTTCTATTTATTATATAGATACTGATGAAATACCAGGATTTCTCCTTTTACTAAAAAATCATATCTTCACCATGCGCAGTCAGGATACTATTTTTATCTTTCACCTGTGAGGATATTGGTGTGGCCATGGTTACCAACATAATTACCCAATTGCTGTTTCAAAAATAAATAAAAAAAGTTGTCTTTTATGTGGAAATTTCATCAGTATCTATATAATAAACAGAACATTACATGGCCGCTTGGGGATAGGAATTTTATCTTCTCGTGCTGAAAGTATCTCTCACTCATTCGCTGCGTTCACTCGTGAGAAATACTTTCAGCACTCGAAGATAAAATTCGTATCCCCATGCGGCCATGTAATATCCTCTATTTATGTTCAGTGGAACACACACAACAACTCAAAATAGCAAACTATACGGTTACATGAAGCTCTTGCCAGCTTTTCAGACCCATAATATGTGCATAGGTTTTAGAAGCTATGCACTTGGAGTATTTTTAATTTTCTGCAATATACATTGGTTTTGTTCTATAATTTGGGCTTAGCTAGCCCATGCACCATGTCTAAAAATAGAGTTAGATCAGAGATCTAGAAATAAATGACCACAAAAAATGTTTGCATGGGGTAAATGATCACTGCATAGCTTTTGCACATTGTTGTAAAAAAAGAAAGGAAAAAATATTCACAAAAGAGAGGGACAGGCTTGCCTCCTTAGTACCTGTAGTGGTCTTTTCAATTTCCTTCAAACTAAGCTTAAAAAAGTGAGTTAAGGAGGAGTTGAGGAAAGACAAGATGCAAGAAAATTAGGAGTTGGCCCCTTTCAACTTCCTTTCACTTCATGCCCTCTTGGCTAAAAAGGAAAAAGAATTGACTGCTATGTAGGCTTCTGATCTCTCAGCTGCTTAGCACCCATGCAATAGTAATGTATGGCAGCCATGTTTCTTAAGCTAATTTATTGAAATTCACACCATACAAATGTTTCTGTGAGTTACAATTTTGTTTCTTCAAAGTATTGGTCCCATCTAGTAAATCATCATAAACACTCAGAAAATTATAACTCTGCAAAAAAAGGCTCAATTTCTTTGCCATCGCTGCCAGTGTTCACTATCGTGAATGTTCCAGACCTTGGAGAATTCTTTATCTGAAGAATCAACTAGAACAAATTTCAAAAATTTGGCAGCAAATTCTGCCCTGAACATCTTCCCATCCTTTTGAACTGCATCAAAATAGGATACATGAGGCAGTTTTTGTTCTTTTGCCAATTTTATATGTTCCCACAGTCCTTCTGTATCAACAACTCCTGGAAGAACATCAGCAATTTGGACTTGTGATCCTTTCAATTCAATGACCAGCTGCTCATAAAGCCTTTGGAAGGCCATCTTGGTGATTCCATATGTAATTGTTCCCAGCTGCGGTGTTTTAGCTACTCCTGTTCCAAGGTGAATTATCCTTCCCTTATTGCTATTCAATCTTGGGAAAAATCCTTGGGCAAGCATGAGTGGGGCAGTGACATTTACTGCGAAAGCATACTCAAACTCTTCTCGCTTAATATCCTGAAGTCTTGACGGTACTCCAACAGCAGCATTTTGCACCAAATATTTCACATTGTCACCCTCTGGTATAAAATCCAGTATCTTCCTTTGGCCCTCAGTGGTTGCTACATCAACAGCAAGAGGATGAATGCTGTCCGGCGAACACTTTTGGGTTTCTTGTAATGGCTGAAACCTGCGTCCAATTGCCAGGACATTCAAATCATGACATGATAATTCCTTGGCCAAAGCAGAACCAATACCAGTCCCAGCACCTGTGATAACTGCCCAGTTTTTCATCCTATTCTGACCTGATAATTTAATGTAAATAATTCAAACCTAGGGTTTTTCATTACTAAGTGTCTGAAACCCAAATTTGTTCAACCATAGGATCAGATAACAATTCAACTTTTAAGTAAATTTTGAACGCTTAAAAGTATTCAAAATTTACTTATCTTGAAATATTTCTCAACTTTCTGACAATCTCGCGTAAAAAAATCCTGTTATT